AAAAAAAAAAAATCCCATTGACTAACATTGAAGGAGGGCCCCAAACCATATCTAAAGACCAGAATATTATAGAGATATTGGGGTGGGCTTATTTTACTTGGAGCCAGTAAGCAACCACCTACAACAGTGATCGTCACTATTTTTTCACGAGAGCCGCACTTATAGGACAAATTTAATAGGAAAGCCACTTTTACTGCAAAGTATGAAAAGTTACATCCAGTCATAAATAGCATGTCTGCTTCTCAATCTGTCATCCCTGAACATACAATATGCAATGCAATACAAAAGGGATTAATTTTTTTAAAGTTATTTAAAGTTATTTGCTTCCACATTAGCCCATCATGTATCATACCATCCAAGAGCACATTCGGCGTTAAGAGCTGGAAAGATTGCCAAAACAACTCTGCAGTGAGTCAATGTCATGGACGTAAGTTTAAATATCGTTCTAGTCTATATTTCCATCTTGTAATTCCGCTGTTTTTGGTATTTTTTAAAATATAAATTATTTGTAATAGAGCAGATTTATGTTCTCGTTTAGCGAGACAGCAGACGCTGAAAACACTGCGCGCTTCAGTATGTGTGTAGTAAACGAAACCGCGCGTCTGTGCCATTCATTCATAAAGAGACACGCAGGATTCATATTTAAATGGTATTTTTGCAGCTTATTATTTACAGATACCAGTCAATACTGCGATTTGATTTGATTTAAGTGTAACTTTGACAAATTCCGTGACATTCCGCGTTATTCAGTAAATTCTGTTTTTATGACTGGATTCCGCGATTACTGCCGTGTTTTCCGCATCGCAGAAATCATAGGGCCATAATTATAATGGGTTCTATTGTCTTTTGTCGTGTCGCACCACGACGCTAGCGTCCGGTGTAGACACGGTGTGAGTTATTTTTAATGACTTAGTTATAGCCCTGCTTGTTTTTAATGTTTTTATTAAATATCTGTATTGATCATATCATCGCATTATTTACTGCCATCTGCCATGCGAGCCACAAATTAAAACTTGGCGAGCCACGCAATGAGTAACACTGACCTACAAATCACATAGCAACTACATAGCACACCGACAGCACAAAAACCATTCCACACACAGCATAGACACCACCCAGAAAACCTTTACATCATAGCAGCACCACTATATTCATCTTCACTTAAACTGTATCTCTTCTCATTTCCACAGTTGCGTAGGCTTCCTGAAGACTTGGCTTCCTTTCTGCATCTTGACCAGTGTGATCCTGGCTGTGACTCTGTCTCTAAACCTGCGATGACCCAGCGGGGTCACACAGAGGTGAACGTGCACAGTGCCCATAGGAGACCCACCGCTGCGGGACTCCAGTGAAGGTCAACTTGACTTCCAGCTCTTCAGAGCATAGAGGATCTCAACATCAAAAACCAAACGCTAGCCCTCTTTGTCGTAGGGTAGAGACCGCAAATACACCATGGCTTCAACGTCTTGTGGTGATGTACGAAACGCTATGTTCTCAAACCTTGCTATCCAAAGGCATGACTTTGGTGTCTCTCTTGAGGGTTATGGTGCTCTTTTATCGTTTGGTTAGATTTTGATCTCCAAACTATAACTGCTGCTTAGGAAATATAACACTATAACGTATATATATATATATATATATATATATATATTGTCTTATATTTTAAATATAACTTGAATATGAATTTCTAATGATGCTATGTTCGTTCTGAGAACGTAGTTTATTGCCAAAACAATGCATTATAAATCGAGAGGTTCTGGAAGATGGATTTCCTTAAAAAATTACTATGAATACAAAAGCTTATTTAAATGAACACTTTTAACATTTAATTTCATTTAAGAGTAGCCTTTTAGTCATTTTTGGCTAACCATCAATATAAATGGCTTTTAATATTGTAGCTTGGCATGCTTTAAATTGTAATTGTTTTTATATAAAAATTAATTAAGATATGAAGATTAGCATTCAAAAATTGCTAGTTAATGAATAAGCAAATCTTGTTTGCATTATGTATTCAAAAGCATTATTTGCACTGGCCAGCTGTTATTATATTGCATCATTTATTGTATTAATTAACTTTTATTATATCGCATAAACCATTATGAAATCGCATTCACAAGTTAAAGTCGAATGTGACCCATTCAAAAGTAAAAATTGTAGTACAGGCGTTGATTTTATCCATTGGGAATTGATTGAGCCTGAAAAAAAGCATGCATTCAGACCAGACATGAATGAATGAAATTTAAGTGGCCTTGGTGACTTAGTTAATTTGAGGAACGGTTACGAAGACAGACATTTAATTTGGTAACATGCACTGATAAATCCTGCACAGTAAGACCAGGAGTGAAGGAAAGTAAATGAGTTGATAATGTTGCCTTAAATAAATCGTTGTTGTCCTGAGAATCGCTTGGGTCACATTGCAGGGGTTTTGGATGCTCTGTTTGAAAGCTTTACTCTTTCAATCATGATATACTTAATGCTTCCAATGTCTGTTTTCACAAGAAATATCAAAGGTATTTTGTTATATTGATTATTGACTTAGTATAATGGCACAGTATGCCTATAGTCAACGATCATATCACATATAAAAATAATAACATGATTTATGTTCCATATGAGATGCAGGAGTTGATAATGTTTATTAAAACAAATGAAGCCAGAACATTGAAATCTGTCAAGCACACGTCCAGGTTATTATTTCACCCCAAAATCAAAAAGAAAAAAAGCACAGAAAAGAAAATGAAGCCTGTTTTATATGATCTTTTGCGTGGGATATAATTTAATGGCAATTACGCACATTTCCTACTGTAAGAAAATATTTGTTAATTAATTATATTAATATTATTATAATAAGTATTTATACACAACAGCAGTATTTGTAGTACTGCTTTAATTTAGATTTTTTTTTTTTTATTGCAACAACAGTAAAAACTGTATTAAAGTATGACAAATTTGGAGAAAAAGGTCATGGAAATCTTAACAGGCTTTGTTTTCTTGATACAAAAAATATATTTTTATTTCCTTCTGATTTGGGGTGTAAATATGGCCTGTTTTAGTGATTCACTCATGCCTTTGAATTGATTAATTAGTGTATAATTAGGAAGAAAATTAAACCTGTCAAAATAGGCTCTCAGAAAATATTACAGTATTTGTATTGTAATAAAAGTGATACCTGTATTAAACTAATTAAAATAAAAATGAATGTTTTCATTATCATACAAATCTTAATTATCCTAATAACAGGCTTTATTTTCTCCATGCAAAATATTTTATTTTGTTTGCTTCTGATTTTGGGTGTTTCACTCGTACGTCTGAGAGGATCTGATTGGTGTATAATCAGGAAGAAAAGCAATCCCAAAGTCAAACTGGGTGAAATCTAACCTTCAGATCGAATCCTGCCGTAATCCTAGACTATGATCTGGACACCAAACCTGTTTCCGTGGCTCCTGTGTGATCAAATCCCCTCTTTGTTTCATGTCAAAGAGAACTCCCCTCTTACCTATTGCTCTCTTCTCACATGTTTTCTTTTCTTTCCTCTTCTCACACTCTCTCTGTCTTTGGAAGTATTGCCAAGAGCAGCAGGTAACCGTGTGTGTGTGTGTGTGTGTGTGTGTGGAGTGTATTCAGATGGGCGTGTGTGTGTGTGTGTGTGTGTGGAGTGTATTCAGATGGGCGTGTGTGTGTGTGTGTGTGTGTGGAGTGTATTCAGATGGGCGTGTGTGTGTGTGTGTGTGTGTGGAGTGTATTCAGATGGGCGTGTGTGTGTGTGTGTGTGTGTGGAGTGTATTCAGATGGGCGTGTGTGTGTGTGTGTGTGTGTGGAGTGTATTCAGATGGGCGTGTGTGTGTGTGTGTGTGTGTGGAGTGTATTCAGATGGGCGTGTGTGTGTGTGTGTGTGTGTGGAGTGTATTCAGATGGGCGTGTGTGTGTGTGTGTGTGTGTGGAGTGTATTCAGATGGGCGTGTGTGTGTGTGTGTGTGTGTGGAGTGTATTCAGATGGGCGTGTGTGTGTGTGTGTGTGTGTGGAGTGTATTCAGATGGGCGTGTGTGTGTGTGTGTGTGTGTGGAGTGTATTCAGATGGGCGTGTGTGTGTGTGTGTGTGTGTGGAGTGTATTCAGATGGGCGTGTGTGTGTGTGTGTGTGTGTGTGTGTGTGTGTGTGAAGTTTGGCCCCTGCTGGTCCGGGCTTGAGCTGATCACATTAGAGAGTCTGTGTGAAGTGTGACGTTCTTACTGATGGCTTTCCTGTCTTCAAAGATGTGCACTAGTGAATCAGAAGCACATTTGACAAAGCAGGGCCTGAAACTATTTCATTTGCAATGCAATGCAATCATATTACAAGAATTTGGTCCAGGTCTGATTGTTCACAAGCTTTGATTTGTGATTTTTATTTATTATTTTTTTTTTTTCCCAATCAATAAATGGAATTATGAGACAATGAAATTAAATGATAACATTATAATTTGTAACAGGTTTGCAAATTTGGCTATCCATTTCTCATTATATAGAAAATGCCCACATTTCATGAGTTATTTTTTATAGTACTTTTCTATATTTTGAGTATTTCTCATGAAACATAGAAAAGTTAGTTTGATGAATGTAGTCAACACTAAATTATTTGTCAACATTAAAGACATAGAATGGATTATTTTATTTTATTCTGTTTATTTTTGCCACCATGTTACCAATTCCCATGTTATATAGAAAACAACTATATTATAGTTATTTTGCAGCTATTTTAATTTTTCTGTATTTTTATTTTTTCAGTATTTCTCAAAAAAATAGAGAAAATAACTTGATATCTAAAAGTGAAAGTAGTCAACACCAAATTATTTGTCAAAATTGAGGACATAGTTTTCTAAATAACTTTTGGTCACGATTGAAAGTAACATCTCACTTTCTGGAACGGGGAAATCATGTGGTAACAGGGTTGTGTTTAAAATGTGTAACACCACTAAAAATAATGATGTTTAAAAAAAAAAATTCATGTAATGTTACATTTTTTGTTAGATAATACCTTTCACTAAAAATGGGATTTGTGCCCCTAATGCTTTTAAAAAGCACTGCAACTCCATCGACTACCCTATTCATAGAAAGTGGCAGTTAATGTTTTCATTGATTTTTGGCATTAGATTATTCATTTCTGTTTCTGCCTGTTAGCTAATCCAAAACTTGCATATGCGTAAAAATTAATCTTTTTCTCTCATGCACTGCTAAGCTTGTCATTACGTTAACTTTGCACAGCTACAAACAAATAGACTTTTAATATTTATAAAAGTGTCACTTCATACCTTCTGCAGCTGCATTAGTGTGTGTGTGCGTTTGCTTATTCACGTGTTGTGTTCTGTAAGCCTGTACGCATGTGTCTGATACAGAGAAAGTCTGATATTTGTGGTTGGTATTCAAAAGTTGTTTTTTCTGGGTTTTAATGCTAATAATCAAGTACATATTTTAAGATGAGGTTTTTAAAATATTTGTAATAATATATTTTGCCTTCTAGAGAACTGGCTGTGTGTGTGTGAGTGTGAGTGTGAGTGTGAGTGTGAGTGTGAGTGTGAGTGTGAGTGTGTGAGTGTGTGTGTGTATGAGTGTGAGTGTGAGTGTGTGTGTGATTGTGTTATTGTGATTGTGTGTGTGTGTGTGTGTGTGTGTGTGGTAATGCCTGCTTGACTAGATGCATTGTTTACAATGGCTGCTGAGTGTTAGATAGAATGCTTTTTGTTGTTGATTTTATGAAGAACGTCAAGCATTCAGTAGAGCACATGGAACAACAGGGTGAAAACACTTAACAAGGCCTTTCTTACTCCAAATGAGTGACCGTGTAGTTTTATATTCACAAAGCAATAAGCTTCTGTGCGAATCTGTAATACAGGAATGTGAAAAAAGATGACTGTGTGCGATATCTGATTTTTTTTTAGAAATTGGTATTGGTCTTTCATCGTCTTTTCCTTTCTTTTTTTCTCCCATGAACCCAGTAATGGTCATTTGAAATTGAGTTATTGAGTTTGCAGAATGTATTTCCGCATAGCTTGCGTCCATAGCAAGAACTATTGGCAAAAGCCAATATCCTGTCATCAAAAACCAGAGGAAACATATAATCATCTTCCTAATTAATTTACAGTCCCCAATGTTGCATAATTATCACATTTCAAACCAATTCTGCCAACAATATAAATTATGATGTAAATGCATTATCGATATCAATAAAAGATGTTTACTATTACAATACACTATGGGTTTTATTTATATATGTTTGTGTATTTAATAAAGCAGCTTTTGTCTCTATATATAAAACAACATGACGAAAGACATCATATTAAACCGTTCTCTCAGGTTATGTACTTCATTAGCCTTATGCTGTTCATGGTTTCTAAACAACACATTACTGAACTCATCAATCATTAATATAGAATCAGCTGGTTAAAAAGGTTTGCGTATAATGGCTGCTGATTCAATAAATATGTAGCGTTTCATAAGTTCTATTTGATTCATAGTTTTTTTTTAGAAGTTATTTTACATCTGGTGTCCTATAACTCAAATACAAAATACGTGCATGCATTTTTTATAATGTTTTGATTGTTATTTTTTTGTGGGTTTCTTTGAACCGTTGCCCTGGAAACGTTTAATTGCGCTAGAGAACAAATAAGTGACTCGGCAGGCAAAAGAACGCCGTGTTGAATTCATAGCGTATTGTCCCTCTTCAGTTCAGCAGACCCCCGCCGACTTCAAAGCATCAGGAGCCCTGTGGAGTGAGAGATCAGATCAATGTTCCCAACATACAAAAACACAGATTATCCATACATTAAGAACTAGATTCATCTTCAGAAAACCTATTAAGAACTCGGAAGCCAATAACACTGATCTGAAGAATATCCTCTATGGCGCAGTGATGTTATCCTTTGGAGCTCCAGTCGATATAAGACCCCTATATGATTTTACTTCATCCTCTATTTTAATAACAGAAACAAAGGCTGTCATATACCAATATAAGAAGAAAGTCATATACACCTAGGATGCCTCAAGGGTGAGTAAAACGCAGCCTAATTTTCATTTTTGGGTGAACTAACCCTTTAAGTTTAGACTCCTTTCTCAATTAGCCTTTTTTTCTTCTTTTTTACATAGTAAAATTACATGTCAGGCGATGCTTGTTTAGGAGATTCATTTAAAAAAAAAAAGTTCAATATTGTTTGTCATGGTTGTAGATTAAAAAACAAAAAAAGGTGTATGATTTACTTTGAAACAATTTCTGTCAGGACCAGTATTGTCAAAGATGATTGACAATTAGCACAGAGTTTGGATTGGCGATATGATTCTGTTCTGGGCAAGAACTCCCTGCGCATCCAGAGCAGCGATAACCCCCTATAAACAGAACAGTTTAGTGTACAGTAATTTAATGTACACATTTTAGAAATTAGTCTGATTTAAAAAGGGGAATCAGAAGGCCGAATCCTGACGGAACGAGAGGAGGAGCTGGGGATGGAGGAGGGTAAATAGCTATTGAGCGCCGTGAAAGCTGCTGATAATACTGAAGGACCTCATATACGGATGCTGTTATAGATGTCGTATCTCTATAGGTAGACATAGAGCAGCTGAGAGATGTGAGCTTGACCGACGTGGCCTTTTCACACTCAGAAGCGTGTGTGTGTGTGTGTGCATTTTAATGCGTACATTTTTTAAATATAATCAGGGATATTGTTATTTGAAGTAAAATAAATGTTAATTGGGAAAAAAAAAGAAATAAAAACGATACAGACATTTAAAAACAACAAAAAATAAAATGACTTCACACAATAAAATTACTAAAACTTTAATTAACGCAGACAAATATAAAAATACAACTGAACTCGAAACATTAACAAAAACTCTCAATGATACTAAAAGAAAAAAAAATGCTGTACCCTTTGAAAGTTTACTGAGGCCCCTAGTGGGCCCCACCCCCTTTCTAAGAGTCACTGCTCTAGCTTCATCGATCTCCAAAGAATCACACAGAAAAAATTCATAAAAATAAAATTGCAGAACCTAAAAGCAACTGTAGAACAACCGTTTTAAAAAGTGAGCATAGCAAACCGGAGACCTTGAACTACTGTACTGGAGTAAAACCAGATCAACTAAAGTGAGAGACCTTGGAGTATCGTAATCTTTTGATGATGAGCTTTAATCACTATTAAGCCTATTAATCACTGTGATGAGTGTGAGATGGGAGAGATCCTGGACTGGTTTCGGTCTAAATGGTGAAGTAGAGGGGGAGAGGTGTGAGGCTGAGCCCAAAGCTCCTCCCTGCTGATTGTTGAGAGCATGAGTGATTCAGTCGCATTGTTTGAGAGGAGCGCATCAAAAGCCCCACACCGAGAACCTCCTTTTCTTATGGAAATAAAGTGTCTGCCTCTCATTCACACGAGTTTCTGTAATGCAAAGAAGGCAGTCTCAACATTACTGAGAGAAGTTAGGAGTGAGGAGCACGCGGGACCGGAGTCTTGGAGAGACACTTTGGAGACGCGGATCCCCGGGCGCGCACGCCCGCTGCATGAGGACATTTATTTAGTCAGGTTGATGCGGTATTGCTGATAGTTCACCATGCTGGCCTCTGCGCGGTGCGCGGTTGCGTTCGGGCTGCTGTGCGCTGCGCTCTCCGCGGGCGCGTCGCTGTGTCCCGCCGGCTGCGAGTGCTCGGAAGCCGCGCTCACGGTCAAATGCGTCTCCAAAGATCTGCGGGACATTCCGAGCGGCATCCCGAGCTACACCAGAAACCTCTTCATCACCGGAAACCACATCAGCCAGATCGGACCCGAGTCTTTCCGGGGACTGGACAACGTGACGACCTTGTCACTGTCTAACAACAGGTAAAGCAGTGATGTATATCTGAAGCCACATCGACTTCATCTGACTCTTAAAATACTGTTAACAACTGCTTCTGAAGTTACGGTGAATCGATATGGAATCTCCTTCAAACTGTTCAAGAATCTTCATGTCATTTTGATCACAGTGGAGGCTAAAGTCAATGTAAAACTTTAGAGTAGCAACTATAATATTTTGAGTTTAAAAGGGGAAGCTCATGCTTAAGGTGTTAAATGTGTGTACAGGTTTATTCTCACATCCTTGACTAATTCTACTTCATTTCTCCATAAACCTGTTTTACTAGGACACTCGTTATTAAAAACAATGCATGTTTCTATTCAATTCTATTCAGAAAGTTCCCTTAACAGGAAAACGTTTCATCTCAGATTTACTCATTTTACCCCTTTCTTGCCATGAAACCGGTCTAAGATGCTGACATGGTATAAAACAACCAAATAAATAAACACCCCCTCAATATCTGTTGTAGTTTTGACCCTGCAACTACACTTATACACTTCATCGACATCTGTAGTTCAATGAAGAACCTTTAACATCATGCAAAAAAACGTTCTATTGTGTAAAAGGTTCTTTGGGGAACCAAAAGGCGATTCTACTATGGCGTCAAAAACCCACCTTTATTTTTAAGAGTGTAGTGTAAAATGTTCCTTTTCTCCTCTACAGGATCTCAGAAGTGAAGTCTCACACATTTTCTAGCCTGCGGAGCCTCAGATCGCTGGACCTTAGCAACAACCAGCTAGCCGTCATCCATCCTGAGGCGTTCACCGTCCAGAGCCGCCTGCTGAGGGAGCTCAACCTCAGTCGGACTCTCTATAACCACTCGTCCATCACTGATTTAGCCACCTCTCTTCGCTGGAGCAGCCTGGCTGACCTGCTGGGACTGGACCTGTCTAGTAACGGCCTTGTCTACTTGCCCCCGGGCATCTTTTGCCATCTTGTCGGCCTGCGGCGCCTTCAGCTTGGCAACAACTCTATAGTGTCCATCCATAACGGGACGTTCACAGGACTGGATCACCTCCAGGAACTCGACCTCACCCACAACGCCCTCAGGACCCTGCGTGAAGAGGCTCTAAAAGAGCTGGAGCACTTGCGTTCGGTGAGGCTCCACTTGGCGGAGAATCCTTACACCTGCACATGCGACATCGAGTCTTTCGCCGCCTGGCTGAACGGCTCACGAGCGCGAGTGGTAGACGTCGAGCACCTGACTTGTGCGTTCCCAGATGCCTTGCAGAACACGTCGCTACTGACGGTGGGCGAACTGGAGTTGGGTTGCCATAAGGCGGGAGAAAGTGACAATCTCGCACTGCAGACCTCCTACGTGTTCCTGGGTCTCGTGCTGGGATTTGTTGGGCTCATGTTTCTCTTTGTGCTCTACCTGAACCGCAAAGGTATTAAGAAGCGCATTTACGACATGCGCGACGCATGCCGGGAAGTCTGGGAAGGGTACCACTACCGATACGAGATCGACTCCGATCCCAGACTGTCGCAAGTCTCTTCAACAGCAGATGTGTGAGCTCTTCTCAAACTGAGCTCCTTATATGAACTAGTTTTCTATTGCATTTATACTTGGAACACGTCCATTTGTGTGGCGAACAGTGTTGGGGGTAACGCGAGTTACGTAATCAGATTACTTTTTTTCAAGTAACTAGTAAAGTAATGCATTACTTCTAAATTTACAATGAAATATCAGAGTTACTTTTTCAAATAAGTAACGGCAGTTACTTTGCTTTTCTATTTATTCACTGACTCCTCTCCTGTCCCCGTGTTGACAGAAACTGGTAGTAAGTGCAGCGATACTTCCTTCAGCCTGAGGCTTACTAATTTCACTTTTTGTGTGAAAGGGCCCTTATGGTGGGCAAAAATGTAACTTTTGGTTTATTTTTTGTTATTAAAGAACAAATAAGCAAGCCCAGTGCAGATGACAAAAAGTAACGTAGTGCATTACTTTCCATAAAAAGTAACTAAGTAATGCAATTAGTTACTTTTTATGGAGTAATGCAATATTGTGTAATGCATTACTTTTAAAAGTAACTTTCCCCAACTGGTGGTGAACATGTAGACATTTGAGTAGGCACATTTCTTGTGAAAAGCATGTACTGCCTGTCTCGTTGAAGCCTTTATAACAAGCACACCTCCCCCTCAATTCTGCACAGAATTGGCCCTGAGATGCATTTGCTTCTCAGTCATCATGGGATGTTTGAGGATTAGCCCAATAAAGGGGCAGAAGCCATAAAGTAACTCCACCACCACCACCACCAACAAACCCCCCACTAGTCTCCATTGTCCTGTACTGGAATATTGCCCACCTCTCTGGTGCTCAAGTGCCTTGCTCATTGGATTAAAGAGGCTGACCAGCTATTAAGAGGATAACCATTATATATATATATATGTGTGTAATATGCGTTTGTGAAGTTTTGAGAACTGTTTTATTGCATGCTCCTGCAACCCTGTTTTTATGGAAGTGAATGCAATTTTTCGCGTCGGACCCTGAGCAACCGAATTAGCAGCCTTCTATGGTCCTTTCTGTCCCTCTATCCACAGGGAGTCTGCGAAGAATGTTGCAGATTTTCTCTCCAAAAGCATTCCAGCAGGAGGATAACCTCCTCTAAGCTCTAGAAAGAGGATCTTTTGAAGAAAAAGACCCAGTTTGCAGAAATCTCCAACTGCCCTTTTTTTTCGTTTAAAAAAGACGTTTTGCTTTGTTTTTATTCCACTCATTTTTATTGTCAGAATGATGAGAACCAGCCCTTACGAGGGCCGCTGAGCGAGACCCCTCCTCCGTCAAGCCTGTTCGCTCTTTGAAGACTCAGTCTGGCTCAGTTCCTCATATGTTCCCCAGCTTTTTCTGTTTAAGGGACTTTACGGTGATAAGATACAGATGAAGCTGGGGCCGTTGTGCTGAACGGTCCCCTGCTCTGTTTCTGAGTACTGTTTCCAAATGTGCAAGACTGAAAAAAAATATGCTTGATGTGTTGTGCCAATGTGCTGGACTTCACTTCACTGTCTGGATAATATGATTTTATGCAGCATATGTTTGTCAAAAGATACAGTCTATTTAGTCTTTGAGTGAATCTCACAAAGACAGTCAGGAATGAATTTGTATTTCACCTTATCAAAAAGGAAAAAAAAATATTTTGCATAAACAAAAAAGGCTTTTTTAACTTTTTGCATTGCTGCATTTTAATGACAACATATTACAGTAATATATATTACAGTAATGAGACGTCAAAACAAATATTATTTAAAATATATTATAATGGCATTAATAATGGTACAATATTATATATTTATTATATATAATTTATTTATTTTTTGGAGTGAAACTGAATATTTCTTTGTGAGATTCACTCATTTGTCAATGTTTTGGACTGAGAATCATTATCTGTGGAAAAGCATCATATCTTTGCTTCAAAATTATGATATTTGGTACATGAAACTTCACAGACATTTGGACCGTCTTCCATTGTGCTTTTATAGCTTTATACTCATGTATTATTCATTATATTCAAATGAACCTTTCTCTAAAGAGGTAGGGAAAACCTTTTAAGTGGGATGCCAAAAGCAAAAATGTTTACTCATGAATATATCAGGTATCCAGTGCAAAACAAAACTTTTGTGGATGTGTCATGCATCGCATGGACAGATAAATGGTCTTTCTTCAGGGCAGAGTTTATTTTGCATGCTAAAAATAAAGGTTTTTAAATTTGAAATTGAAATTAGTCTCTTTGTTTCTTGCTGGTCAGAAATATATTTGTGGTTTCTTGTAGGAGGATTCCTTTAGCTAGAACAGAAGAGCTCACGGATAGTTCTCCTTTGGTTTACAGTAGGAATTATTCATCACAAACTCTCCTCATCCTTTCTGATCATTTCAGAAAGCCTAAAGTTTTCCCCTTTTTTAGTTTCTTACTGTATAATCCTTCAGATCGATTCAAATTGAAATGACAAATTAGAGCATGAACTCAGTGAAAATGTATCATCATGTTAATGCTGACGCCGTGATATTATTCTTCCTCATAACAAAAGGCCTTTAGCAAAAGCTCGAAGGGCATCAGAGGTGTTTCATAACTGATAATAACTATGAGCAGGCTTAGTCGCATTTTTACGGCTGCAAATCTCCACATGCAACACGTTATTGGAAACACGTGAGTTATGATAATCGGCTACAGCACAAAGCTGAATGCAGTGCCTCATTGAAAATCATCTGTGGTGCAATCAGAGCAAGGCTCTGTGTCTAATTTAAAACATTCAAAAATATTTTAATGAAGGTTTTTTTGATGAAGTCCTTCTACAATGAAGTAATTCGGAATAGTTGGTCAATACGATTAAGGGCCGTTCACAATGGCAGCGATTTAGTAAAGTTCAAGTTTATGCAAACACTAAGCATCGACCAATGAGAGTGTAGAAAACGCTCATGTGATCTACTGCCAGTCAAGCTGAAACCATACAGCAATTTAACCTCTATGTGTGAAGGCCCTTATATATATCGAAGCATTTTTATTGCTGTTGCTTAATGGCTTTGTGCCTGGTAATGACATGATGTTAGTATTGCAGAATGAGAGCAGAACTGAAGGCTTTACAAAGTACCTCTTTCCTCCAACAGCTCCCTGTGCAGAAGACCATGGTGGGCTTGTTAAAAACAAAGAAGAAATGTAGCCAATTAGTTACGAATTTATGGCCGTCCTAAGGCTCGGACTCACAAAAATTGATATTTACCTGGCATCATCTGGCCGGACACCGCTGTGCCAGAGAACAGTACTGAAGATTAATGTCATCTTCTCTCGGCCTCATGGAAAGCCTGCAGGAAAGACGAAATGTCACACAGCTCTAAATTTCATCTTTGCCCCTGACTTTCAAGCAAACTAGCCATTTAAGAAGAAGAACAAAGACGTCCGAGTTCATGTGACCGCTGTGCTGTTCATGAGACCCACTTGTTTTATTTTCATAGTTTTATTCGTCCTCGATGACCCTACACTGTGGTTTTGCTATTAAACAGAAAAGCGCCCTTGGGATGTTACAGAGAAAAGCTGCTCTTTTGCAATTAGTCATGTGTTTGCTTTGGTTTAGAAACATCCTGGCACCATTGAGGGACGTTTAATGGATTGATATATGGGTTCATGAAATTAATCTCACATCTATGAGGGACTGAATACATTAAAGGCAAACCCACAACAGTCATCAACATGACAACAGCAATTTAGTGCTGCTGTGAGCATGTAAGAAATACTGCTGCTGCAAGTATAGCTTGAATTTATCCTACTATACATGAAATGCCCTGTAGCAGATCTACATACAGGTGGAGCTGGGGAAGGTGGAGGGGTTCTGAAGTGCGCTGCAACTGCTAAAGCAAGCACTAGCTGAGTATTTGAATTTTGAGCATCAAGCTCATTGGCCGCTGATGCGAAAAGAAACCAATCAGCTGCGCCACGTGAATAATGATGTGATTATATCAGATTGAATTAGAACCTATTGGCCTGAGCCATCTAGAGCTTCATGACAGAACTTCGTATAAGTAAATAAACAAACAAACTTAAGGGTGGACCCTTTTAAGCACCCTTTTGCAAAAGAAGTAGACTTAAGCATCCTTTTAAATAGAGTATTTATTATGAAAATAGTACACTTTAAAATAATATACTGATGTAATGTTTCCGGACATTAAAGTGCAATTAAATGAAAATATTAGGACTTAAGTAGGACTTAAGTACATTTTTCTATGTAATTCCAAAGTTACTTCTGCTGTCTTTGAAATATGGTTAAAGTGTACTGCTGAATGTACTGTCAAGCATTAATGATAAATTAAAATATACATGCATTTAAATTACATAAAAAATTTTAATGATAATGTTGTAGTTTAGTACATTTGAAATATATTAATTTTAACTGAATAATACACTACAGTTAAAATTATTGTACTTTAGTATGCTAGTCAATGCAATAAAATAAGTGTACTTTCTTGACAAGCTTGACAAAAGATTATTCAAACGTAATGATTTAAAAGATACTTTAAAACTTTGGCATCATAAAGTACTTAAGTGTGTTAAGAAACAGTCATGAAATTGAACTCTCCTTAAAGGGATAATTCACTCAAAAATTAAAATTCTGTCATCATTTACTCACCCTCAAGTAGCTTCAAACCTGTATGAATGTCTTTGTTCTGCCGAACACAAAGGAAGATATTCTGAAGAATGTGGGAAACAGAGCACTTCTGGAGCACCATTGACTTCCATAGTATTTTTTTCTCCTACTATGGAAGTCAATGGTGCCCCAAAACAGCCTGGTTACAAACTTTCTTCAAAATATCTCCCTTTCTGTTCGGCAGAACAAAGAAATTTAAAGGGTTTGGAACTACTTGAGGGTGAGTAAATGATGACAGAATCTTAATTTTGGGGTGAACTATCCCTTTAAGTAGACTTAAGTGGCCTTTTATTTAATTTATATTATATTACCTGCAAGTACAGGTTTTTTTAAATACACTTTTAAGATTTGAAGTACACTGTAAATGCACTTTCAATACAATTAAGCATACTTTTCACAAGTGCAATTACCTAGCAACAACTCACAACACCTTAGCAACTGCGTATGCTAAAGACGATGAGACAATGAGAACACAGAACGCTTTAGCAACCACATAGCAATACACTGGCAACCAATTCAGCAGTGTGTTAGCGAGTTTTGCACAGGGAAACTTTTCTTCAGAATATGTTCAAATCTAAATATTTTTTTCTTCAGTGAGTCATTGCACGCTATGATGAAGTGATTTCATTATGGTTTCAGCAAGACTGTATGATGTTCTTTTCTCTTTTTTAGATGAATATTAATGTACATGCTAAGTTAGTTGAACAGATAATAGATTTTGCCTTTTGTCTCACACATACAAACAAAGACACACATAAAGCATTTAATTTTCTCCGAAGCACTGATTATAAACTCATGCTGTTTATTCAGGTTTATCTATTTGTTTAGTCCACTTGTCCTACCAGCCCAATGACAATAGGCAGCTATGAAGGTCCTACTCCCAGCGGCGGCAGCCCATTGTCCAACTGTTGGCTGAGCTTTGGCGAATGATTGTATTTTGAGAGCTTTAGTAAAAGAGGTTGTTCTAACTGGAGGTACAGCCAATGCTGTGTCGGCTCCATTTATCACTTTCAATTAGGGGTAACATTCAACTCACACTCACACACACACACACACACACACACACACACACGTGTATGCACCTGCTTACACAAACACACACTCCCAGCCAAGTACATACTCAATGATGGATGCACTGCTATATGCTGCATACCAAATGAGCTTTTCCTCATGTGACCTTTCCATGTATAATCATATAATCTGAGCAAATAAAGTAGAAGACATTATTGCAGGGCTCTATATTGTGTAATGTGCTGTGCTGAAAGGCAGAGGGTTTAATAAAAGTCAATAAATCATGATTATTGCTCACTAGCATGAAGTGAGAGCCATGACAGGTTTTCAAAACTCTATGACACAGAGACAATTTAACTCCCATTACATGAACCTCACGAAGAAATGTTCGGGTCATGATTTATGCCAACATTAAAAGAAAAAATATGAATATTTGGCATCAATTAATATGTAATATGTCATTTTTGTAATTCCCTTTGTTGTCAATGATCATTCTCATTACTGTAATACTGCAATCGTTGATGGTATTGCAATAAAAAATAGTGCAGATGAAATTATTTTTTTTGCACAAATAATAAAAGTCAATAAATCATGATTATTGCTCACTAGCATGAAGTGAGAGCCATGACAGGTTTTCAAAACTCTATGACACAGAGACAATTTAACTCCCATTACATGAACCTCACGAAGAAATGTTCGGGTCATGATTTATGCCAACATTAAAAGAAAAAATATGAATATTTGGCATCAAGTAATATGTAATATGTCATTTTTGTAATTCCCTTTGTTGTCAATGATCATTCTCATTACTGTAATACTGCAATCGTTGATGGTATTGCAATAAAAAATAGTGCAGATGAAATTATTTTTTTTCACAAATTTAAAGGGGTCATATGATGTTGCCTAAAAGAACATTATTTTGTGTATTTGGTGTAATGAAATGTGTTTATGCGGTTTAAAGTAAAAAAAACACATTATTTTCCACATACTGTACATTATTGTTTCTCCTCTATGCCCCGCCTTTCTGAAACGCGTCGATTTTTACATTTTTTTTTACAAAGCTCATCGGTCTGAAAAAGCAAGTTGTGCTGTGATTGGCCAGCTATCCAGTGCGTTGTGATTGGCCGAATACCTCAAGCGTGTGACGGAAATGTTACACCCCTCACCATACTGTGATGATGTGTCCCGGCCGGAGCGACGAGACAAAAACATTAAAAACGAGGCATTTGTTGCATCCAGTGGGGACATAATTACTGATTCTAATGACTTATACTGTCTTTTTACACGTTGCACTGCATTGCATCGTGCCACGTAAACATAAAACTCTGTCTGCATTTGTGATCAGTTCTTATCACAGATTGAAGCAGAAATTAAATGGAAATTATATGTAGTTTTGCATTGCATTATAAATCTACATTTGAAAAATACTCAAAATGACTAAGAAAAACCTTATACTTTTGCAGTCGTGTTTTGATTCTCTTCACATTTCATCCATCGAAACATTCTGCAATGTTTACAGCTACAGTAATAGCTGAATGAATTTGTCCATGTAAGGGATTTCCTGGAAAGTCATTTGTTTTATTCAAGCGGCAACCTTCAGGTCTCTCTTGAAACCAACACGGAAGCGACTTAAACTGTAATTCATCAACTGGCCGCTAGAGGCTGGCTGCAAAAGGGAGTCAATCCCATAGACTCCCCATGTTAAAATGCCCAACTTTACAGCAGAAATAAATATATTTACAGCCTGGCACAAAAAGTGGTTTAGGTCTATATAGCTAATTTTGCTCTTCATGACAACTGTGAGGGGGTGATTTTTTTTTATAAGTCATCCGTTTAAATTATATTAATCCTTAAAGTTCTGCATAATTAAGGGCGTGGCCACTTGAGTGACAGGTGGATTGCTGCTGCTGTCACTACTAGCTGTTTGTCTACTGTCTGTTATATGGAATAAAAATAATGCCATATGTCTTTGAAACAAAAAAGCACATTGAATAGCACTAACTGAAAAAATAATGCATTGCATTAACAGTGCTTGCATTTTAATGCCTTGTATTTCCAGGGCTTGCATTTTTAAGTCCTGAAATTTAACATAGCTGTTTATTTAAGCTGTGAATATTTCAATTCAAAATATTTCACACACATTTTCATAATTCAAAATTCAATAATTCATATTCCCCTTCCAGAATTCACTTCCAAAATATTCAATCTGTTTAAAAATACGAAGGCAAATTTCAGTCCATTTTATTTCACTTTCCAAATTCGCTTCCACAAACTCAGAGGTTAGAATTCGACAGATGAGGATATGAACGTAAGTTACGGAACGCGAAAAACTGCACGTTATTTCCCATAAAGAAAACACTTAAGGTTGGTTTAATGCCTCAAGACACTGATAATAAATCATTCAATTTGGCACATAATTAATAAAATATATTACTGTAAATGATGTACATTTAAGCAGATGAGCCCAGAATATGAGCCCACAATCCACAAAGTTTCACCAAACAATTTTTTCTCCCATAGAAAACCAAGCGCGGTAGTTTTAGGTTTGATATTCGCTGCATATTTACCTCACAGTACAAAACGAAGTACAACAATTTATTAAAATTAATATTTACAGTAAATGAATAATTTACTCAAACTGATTAAATAT